GTAGAAAATTATTTTGATCCTGATCACCTTACAGAAATGCTATTAACTGTAGACTTTGACTGAACTACGTTAAAGCTAGCTGGTAAATGTACAGTATTAGGAAAAATGATGGAAACGCGTAGGTGATACACAGACAGCAGTCACAAACAGTGGGCAATTACAACAAAATATTATTACTGCATTATTCTTTTTCAAAAAATAAAAAATGAAAGTGAATAAACTGTACAATCCACTAGTATTTTGTAATTGTTTTAAACAAGATGTTACACTTTACTTTTATGCTACTATAATTTTATTAATATATATATTTTGTTTGGTTGTCGTTTTGTGCAGGCTAAGTCTTGATTTTGAGTGAACAAGAGGCTTATTTTACTTTCAGTAATTGTTTTACTTTATTATATATCATAACCGATTGGTCAGAACTGTAACGCATCTGAGTAAAAGCTTAAACAAAACTAGTGTTGTACCTTTCCGGAAACTATAAAGAAATTCCTAATAAACTTACTTCTCTACAGCGAAACATTCCAGATCTTAATTACTACTAGATTCGTTGGTATTACTTACTTGGAAAGATCATATTAACAATGATTACAGAAGAGTTGGGATTAGGGTAAACTACCACAGACGAAGTGCTGGCAAAAGGTGCAGATGCTCTTCTACTAATATACCCAATGGTGGCTCACTACCATTACCGATACCAGAGGAAAACTAACTATTACAAAACACTGGGCTCTAGGTCGTTCAGTGGTAAGTTTACGGAGTTACAAAGCTAAAATCAACGATTTACTTCCTCGTATTGAACATCGCAGGTAGTCCATTGTGAAAATTTGCGCTAAACACAACAAATAAAAAAATTCAAAACACTGTACCCATAATGCTCTTATAATCCTTAATAATTTAGTTTAAACTTTTAAAATAAACACTTATATAAGCATACATCAGTTGTTAAAATGTCACCAGGCACTAGCTAATAAGTATTAAACAAAACTTGAGCAATGAATTAGAACAATATTCTTTCCCCAGGAACCTCTGTTAAAAATCACCATTTTAAGAGTTCCTGAGTAGAGACAACCGTCTTGTCTCTTTTTCTTCTTAATTATAGCAGTTAACCCTTTCTTTAAAAATTTCCATTTCCTTCCACACATACACAGACATTCATTCATATATTTAACAACAATTATACTGAAAGGTGTGAAAAATAAGCCAAAATTTCGAAATATCGACAATAACCTGAAATTTATCAAGATTTAGCTTATATCTGACTTTGTGTCCATGAATACAGATGTAGTTCTAGAAAATCAATTGAGCTCAGTTACATTCAGCTTTGGTGATAATGGAAAAAGTCATAAATATAATGGAAGAAAAATACATAAAATAAGATAGAGAGAGAATGCAGGTAATCTTAACAATGTTTTATTTATTTGAGTTTGGTATACTATCTAATGAAACCTCCCTAGAAGTGTTTGAAAGCTTGCAGGCTCAGTTATACGTGAAATATTGTGAAAAATATTTCTTTTTTACTTTATCATACATTGCTTCAAGATCGTGAAGTAATTATGAAATATATCTTAATATATTACGAAGACATAGAAACACATTTAACTTATGAGATTATGATGATTTCATGATATTGAATTTTTGGAAGGAAATCCACAAATTAAAGGACTGTAATACTTTACATAATATAGTCAAAATAATGGATGCTTATTCTGTTAATACAATATATAGTAGTAGTAGAATTTATTAAGTAGGTTGAATAATATGGGTGTTGGGCTGCGGATTCTTCTACAGTAGGTGTCTGTGATTTGTTGGCGATAAATTAAAAAATCAACGAACAGTATTGTTTTCCAAACAATATATATATTAGGAACTAGTTAACCGTATGTACAACAAATTCTTTATACAATAGAGATCATACGCATATCATAAACATTACATAGTTCTCTTCCTCTTGTCAAAAGTCCACTTAGGCCTATTCAATTGCTTTAGAATTTCACTTGACAAGCCGAACTGTTTTTTCTATTACTATCATCAAACTATCCGAGTATAGTTCGCTTACTTTATCGTCGAGTTATCACGGTTGTATACTATAGTTCTAAAATCGTCGGGTCCTTTTTCTCTCTTTGTATTTCCGAGAATCGTCTGTCTATTTGTGAAAGTCCACTGAGGCTAGTTCAATTACGTTAGAACTCTCTTTGACGAAATAAATTATTCTTCTTATCTCTTTCAACACCGTTAGTCTTACTCTAATATATCAACCGTTAGGCCTATATTAATCGTTAGGCCTTCCACTCCTACGGCAATAACTTTGCGTTTAACTTTTCTATTTCCGAATTCCTTTTCGTAACTTTACTTTACTTCTCGTCTACTCTGTCTTTGTCTGTCTGTCTACTTTTCCACTCATCTCACATGTTTATTACTTTATTGTCTGCTCGCTATATCCTCGACATCAATAAATTCACGCGACGTTTGATAGCCTCAACATCAATGAATTACATATACAACTTCCAATAATCGTCTGATTTTAACTCTCTTATTATAAAAAAAAACTAAACAATCATGAAATTTTAACTCACAAAATAATTAGTTAATGCTATCTACGCTAAGCAGTCTTTTGTATCTGACATAGTTATGGGATGAACACACACGCGTTCTTGTTTTAAGTTAATTTCACCTAAGGGTATATCTATGTAGAAACAAAATAGTATTTATATTCCAACTCAACATAACCAGTTGCTGAACTACCTCATGAAAGATGTAGTAAAAATATTTTTACAAAACTCACAGACTTTCTGTAGCTGAAAGGTTTTGTTTTTTTAGTGAAGATGTTTTCTTTGTGTACATCTAAAATCTCGTTTTTGTGAATTTTTTATACATACTTGGAATATGTATTAGAAAGAAAATATATTTCTGACAAAATAACTACGCAAAAATTACACAAAGAACTGTACAAGCTACAGAACTTTGTAAGTTTTAAAATAGTTTACTCCTTTCTAGCTTATCGAGGAAGAATTAGGAGAGCATCTGCATCAGACATATTCAGATCAGTCTAGATATGAGAATCCTGAGGGTGTTAAGGAAGTACTATTGTCTACCACACCTATAGCCCAGTTTGATACAAGGACCACTCTACTGCGTGAGGTATCGCAGGTTTTGACGAAAGCACGATGCTAGTCAGCACCTAGTCAAAATGGGGTTCCCTTCCTTGTGCATGTCCTGCAACTTCTCCACAATCTATTTGTCAGTGCCTGGAGACAGAGTCACATTTGTGAAGAGTGGCAAAGAGAAAATGGGGTTTACATTCCAAAGGAGTAAAGTTCGAAAGGCATAGGTCAGTTCCATCCAATTTCGCTCTTGAATGTAAAAGGAAAGATCTTCTTCTCAGTGCTAGCAACTAGGCTCACTAAATATATTTACACCAATGGGTATATCGACACATCTGTTCAGAAAGTAGGAGTTTCTAGAATTCTAGACTGTCTAGAGCATGTTTCCATGATATGGGAAGCAATACAACGTGCGAAAACCAACAAGTTAGACCTGCATGCCATGTGGCTTGACTTGTCCAATGTATAGGGACCAATACCCCACAGCCTCATTTTGAAAGCATTGAAAATGCACCATTTCCTGAGCCCCTGGTCGACATTCTGAAGTGTTATTTCAGCACCGAGTCCTATACTACAGCATGAACTGAGCTACAGGTCAGAAACCCAGTGGGCTGCACAGTCTCCTCAATATTGTTCGTTTTGGCCATGCAGATGCTACTGAAAGCAGTAGAATCATATGCAGACAGTGCCGATCTGGGAATGGTGTTCACATGCCTCCACTGATTGCTTTCAGGGATGACACCACTGTTTTCAGCAACAGTGAGGAGCAGAGACACTGACACCAAATACCTGCCCGCCTCGACTCGTTGATAAGCTGGAATAGGATGAAATTCAAACCAGCAAAATCCATAAGCCTATTACTGAGAAAAGGGAAGGTCAATCAGCTGGTCATGTTCTCTGTAGTTGGACAAGTGATTCCAACTGTGTCTAAACAATCTGGAGACATGTTATGACCATTCAATCAAAGACACAAAGCAGACTGCAAAAGCACAGGAAAAAGCCAAACAGGGATTATATATACTTAAAAAGACAAAGCTGCAGAGTAAATTCAAAGTTTGGGTCTTGCATATCATGCTGATTCTCAAACTGCTATAGCCACTGCTCATTTATGAGATCATCTTCTGTGTAATTGAAAAATTAGAAAGGAAAATCAACTTTTTCACCAGGATATGGCTAGGACTGCCTCCAATTCTCACCACGGTTGCTCTATATTGTAGTGAAGCAAAACTGAGACTTCCTTTGAAGTCAGTAGTGGAAAAGTACAAGGCTGGCAAGATTAGATTCCTAAGGATTCTCAGAGATTCAGAGGACACCTGTGATAGAGAGAGACCAATCCTCAGCTAAAAACAGTAAGGAAATGGAAGATGAATGAGGCAGCCAACAAAGCAGTAGAGGAAATGAAGCTAAAAGAGATGATAGGCACTACACAGAAAGGCTGCCAGAAGATAGGATTTGGGTCACAGAAACAAAGTTGGTGGTTAGAATCATCAGCCAAAGAGAGGCGAGATATGGTGATAAATGAAATAAGACAAGATGACGATGCCATGCGAGTCCAAACAGCAGTTCATCAAGGAAAACAAGGTCAGTGGGCTACTTGTGAAGATGTTCTACAGAGATTGCTATCGTGGAAAGATATATGACGTATGGCATCCTTGAAATTGAGTTTCATCATCAGTTCAGTAAAACGACCAATTTCCAACAGGCAACAATTTGGTTAAATGGAACCAATCAAATGATTCAAAGTTTAGCCTGTGTGGAGGTGTATATACTCTCAATAATGTACTGCCTGCGCGTAAGGAAGCCTTTGGAAATGGCAATTATGCCTGGAGACACAACCAAGTGCTTAAGAAATAAACAAAGGCAGTGGAAATTACTTGGTTGTTTGCCAATAGAAATATGGCAATTGTAATACAACCAGCCTATTTCCTCAGAGAAAGCACAAGACGAAGTTCCATGATCAAGAATCGTACACTTCCAACACTGGGCATCCTCGATGACACAAGTGACTGGGATGTTGCAGTAGGCATAGTAGACATGAGGCAATACCCTGAAGTCATTGCTAGAACTAGTTTTAGACCTGATCTGGTCCTCTATTCTGAAAGCACAAGAACAATAGTGGCAATAGAGTTGACTGTGCCCTATAAGACAAGAATGAGCGAAAGTCATGAATACAAGTTAGCAAATTATGAAAAGTCCATGAAAGTAATCCAAGACAAGGGGTATATTACAAGACTGTTCGCTGTAGAATTAGGAGCAAGAGGTATGACAGGTTCATTATTATACAGCCTACTGAAACATATTGGTCTGTCAAGTCAGAGAAAATCCAAGTATCTGAAAGAACTGGCAAAAACAGAAGGAGGCATGCTGGATATTGGCAAAGAGGAATGATAAGAAATGGAAATGAGATTCATAAGGGCGTATAGTGGTAGTAAAAAGTTCATATTTATAAATATTAAGTATCTATTTCTTGTCATTATTCAACTTATATATTACGCTGATTTTGACTCAGTTACTAGCAACACAGACACTGCAAAAATAGTTACTATAATGTTCCAGATAAATATTACTATGCACTTAAGGGTCGTTCGAAACTCTGAATTAAAGGTTTTGTACCTGAGTGTGACTTAATGGTTGGAGTATTTGGCTAGGGTTCGAGACGCTACCATACAGACTTTCAGTTTTGGATGCGTTATGAGAATGACAGTCCATTCGCTAATCGAAAATGAATAACGAGTTAAATCCAGCAAAACAAACGAGCAAGACTTTATATTCTCAGCAGTCAGAAGTTCTGTATCTTATGCTTGCCGACAAAGAAAAGAATAACCAATTGAATTTCGCTTTATAATATACAGAATGTCCTAGAGACAATAAGCGTGTATCGATAATTATTGCTAAAGAAAGTTATTTATCTACATATTTCGATTACATTTGTTCGATTCATCATCAAGCAGAATGAACATTGAGATCTTAGGGAAATGAGGTAGACAAATAACTTTATCTTTCTTTTTTGTTTAAACAGGTAAAAGTGTCGTGAGATTAGATAACTTTATTTTACGACTTATCTTCTTATTAGCTTTATCAATGATTATCCAATCGTATCTTCTATCTATTGTCACATATTTAAGGTAGATGAATTCATTGAAAAGGTCAACATCGTTGAACGAAATACGATATGTTCTGTTTATTTGTTTTTGAATTTCGCGCAAAGCTACACGAGGGCTATCTGCGCTAGCCGTCCCTAATTTAGCAGTGTAAGACTAGGGGGAAGGCAGGTAGTCATCACCACCCACAGTCAACTATTGGGCTACTCTTTTACCGACGAATAGTGGGATTGACCGTCACATTATAACGCTCTCACGGTTGAAAGAGCGAACATGTTTGGAGTGACGGGGATTCGAACCCGCGACCATCAGAATGCGAGTCAAGCGCCCTAACCACTTAGCCATGCGGGGCCGATATGTTCTGTAATTTATAGTATGGAATATACAAACTTTTTGAAAAACAAATGGTAACACGAATTGCTCTGTGGCGATACAGTGACTGCAAAAATGTTTCTAGAAAATCTAAAAAGTCAGCTGGTTATTTTGGTCATTTTAAATTGTAAATTTAATGTTATCATTTGATATATTTAGTTGTCGTAAATATTCTTGTAACTTAATGTTACCATGAATCCACATATCTCAAACAAATATTCGGTTTCAATGACAGTTGGGAAAGAACAGTGGTTTCACAATGATGCATAAAAATATTACACAGTAATAGGAGATCCTATAGGTAATCCTTTAACCTGAGTAAAAATATCGCACAGTAATGGGAGATCTTATATGTGATCCTTGAATCCAATTAAAAATATCGCACAGTAATAGGAGATCCTATAGGTAATCCTTTAACCTGAGTAAAAATATCGCACAGTAATGGGAGATCTTATATGTGATCCTTGAATCCAATTAAAAATGTCGCACAGTATTGGAAGATCCTATGGGTGATCCTTGAATCCGATTAAAAATATCGCACAGTAATAGGAGATCCTATAGGTGATCCTTGAACCTGAGTAAAAACATCGCACAGTAATGGGAGATCCTATAGGTGATCCTTGATTCCGATTAAAAATATCACACAGTAATGTGAAATCCTATATGTGATTCTTGAATCCGATTAAAAACATCGCACAGTAATGGGAGATCCTATAGGCGATCCTTGAATCCGATTAAAAATATCGCACAGTAATAGGAGATCCTATAGGTGATCCTTGAATCGGATTAAAAATATCGCACAGTAATGGGAAATCCTATAGGTGATTCTTGAATCCGATTAAAAATATCGCACAGTAATGGGAGATCCTATAGGTGATCCTTGAACCTGAGAATATAATTTGTTAGTTACTTGGAACAAGTAACTCAGCATAACACAAGTTTTTGTCAAGCTTAGGAACTTGCTAATTTAATCTGATGAAATAGGATTTTGAATTAATCTGTCCTAGAAACAGTTAATGGCCTCATTCACAGGGACTAAAGCGAATAAAGATACAACATATGAAAACATGATATTATTATGGTAAAGTTTTAAAAACTAGATTTGGTTAACCAAGTAAGTTATAATGCTGTATTTATGTTTTGAAAGATATTGTATCGACAATACAATGATTCAAAGTGTTCTTAAATTTTTCATGGGGTTCTTATTTAACTATTTGTATAAAACATCTCTAAAAATTGTTAATTATTTTATTAAAATGACTATTATTTGCGGTGATAATTGGGTTACCCCTTATCAACTTTGATTATGACAATATCTTTGTTATATATGACAACCTCGAGGTAAAGCGTTTCATCTTTTGTGAAATTACATTTACCATCAATGTAACTTCTAGACGGATTTTGACTTTAATATCAGACGAGAGGGAAAGGTTAGTTAAGTTAAATTCAATGGCCGGTATTAAATTCTCTGCAATGTTAGAAACAAGCTTTTTTACAGAAAAAAATAATTCTTTGCTGAATACTTTTAATTGGTCCTTAGATATTTGATGATCTGATAAATTTTTAACTTTTGGATGTAGAATTATGTGATCATTAACCTTATTGGTAGCCAAGCGATATGTTACTTAGATAAGGTATCAAATGTATATATATATGTATGTAGTTTCGTTTCTGTTTTATAATATTCCTGAGAAAGCTTAACTTGTGTTATAGATGGTACATTTCAAAAGTCTATTAACAATATTACTTTCATACAAATACGATTCGGAATTAAGCCAACAATTTTCAATTTACTGGGGAATTAAGACGAGTAGTCTCTAGTTTCACTTTTGTTCTACATTGATGAAAATTCTTACAAATGTTATAAATAGTTTTAATGTTTCTAAACGTCACTTATATTAAAGGAAGCCTTCGTTACTATTAGCTGTTAGAATTAGAAAACATTGAGTCTATGTGTTGGTAGTTCTTTGGTGTAAAAATTGTTAATCCCTTCATTATAATGTCACTTATTAACGATGATAATTTGGTTCTCTTTATCAGATTTGGCTATGACAATGTCTTTGTTATGTTTGAGAACCTTAAGGTTAAGCATTTCGTCCTTTATGAGATTACATTTTTCATTAGTAGAAATGTTTATTTAAGTTAGATTCAATAACCGGGATTAAATTATCTGTGATATTAGGAGCAAGTTTAATTAATTATAACCATTGTATGAGACCGTATTAATTTGTTCCCTGAGAATTTAGACTGAACTGAATGTAAGAGAGTCGCTGGAAATAATTAAACTTTTCTTTAATTAAAGACGATCGTCCTGGCATTTCAGTCCTCCAGCTGTATTATATAAACATGTATGTGTATATATATTAACAATATGTCTTGTGTATTGTTTTATAATAATGATGAATATTTTACAGAACTGAGGAAAAACAAGACAATTGTACGTTTCACAAATACATCATTCATTACGACCATGGTTTCGCTAGTAAAGACATCATCAGGTACTGGTGAAACAATGGTCGTAATGAATGATGTACTTGTGAAACGAACAATTGTCTTGTTTTTCCTCAATTCTGTGATTACGGGGTTTCATCAAGTACCGATTTAGTAGTAATATTTCATTTAAACAAAAAGTTACCTGAAACTGACTGGCACCACATGTTATAGAAACGAGTTTTTAAAATATAGTATATATATATATATATACTGTTGTCTCGTCTATTTTCGTTCTGCCTGATGAATATCCGAACAAATGTGGTCGCAACATGTAGCAAAATTTCTTTTTTCTGCAATAGTAAATAATTGTGGTTTAAATGATGTATTATTTTTATTAGTTAAATGTCACAAAAAGTTATGAGTAAACCAAGTATTCAAGACGATTTCTTCAGCTTACTCTACAGAAACTAGACATATTCATATCACTTAAAAGTCCAAATTTCTAAATGTGTTACTTGATTTCTGATTATGACATTATCATTTGAAGACTTCGTGAGCTGCTGTATGTCACAATTTGAGCTTCTTTATATTGTCTTTTTCATCTTATAAAGGGGTGTGTTTTTATGTATAAGTAAATCTACTCATCTGTCTCGGATCTTCTGTTTTCCCACGTGATTTTTACACCTATTTTTGTTTAAAATATTTTCTATGTTTTGATTAGTTTGTAACTCCTAAAATACCCAATAGATGGTAGCGGTTCTGTTGACTGATCTATAGCAGAACAAGTATGTTAACTTCTTCCAATAGGTAGAAATGTCTTGAACTAAATAAACCGTTTCTCACTTGCTAGAGTTTGATAGGTCCATTTATTGCATTACATTTGGTTATCCTGACCGTAATATCTACTTTTTTTCTTTCCTTCTCAATATGTATATATAAATCAATTTATATTTAAAAGAAACTTTGAATTAACTTCTCCAAAATACCTACGGAAAGGTTGTAGCGATCGACTATAATTATTAATTCTTTGATTTTTTATCTTGACATTACTAGATACTAATTAGTTTATACCCTACATTTGGAGACTTATTCATTCAGGTCGAACGACTTTATGTAATAGTAGAGGCTCGGTTTCCACCCCGTGTCTTCTTGTTAGAAAGGCTGATGTACTATCCATCCGATGTCTATACCGTTACGACTTAAATCAACTAAAAGAAAAAAAAAAGTTCCCAGAGTTCGCTGACTTATATGTTAAGCTGACTGACTGTATTCTTATTAGATGAATTTAGAAGATTTATTTCATCTTTTTTTTTTCTTCGTGTGCGCTTCGTATCTCATAAGTTTGGCATTATTTCAGTTTATTATATGGTATTCTTCTCTTACGTCAAGATAGGTATTATACCCTTTTATGTTTTTAATATTTCTGAATTCTGACTTTTGTTGGTGTTTTTAGTTTCTCCATTGTATTGGATACCAAAATCA